TATCTGGTTAATAGATGGACCCTGTTCTAAATGCGATGTATCAAAGCTAGTTTAAGCTTGTTCAACAGGGCTGAAATTCACTTTGCCTACTTAAAGGCTGAGTACTCATCACTGTTAGCTAGAGCCTTATTTGTACCCCTGCACGAGGTGAATTTCACGCTGTAGGTGTCGTGAGATTGAAAGTGTGCTCTTGGAAACTATTGATCAGGACCATCTCAGTGTCACACAGACATGTTGGCTTCTAAAATTTCCTAATAATTAAAAGGACAGTGTTTAAGCCCCAAAATTAAGTTCCGTTAGCAGAAATAAATAAACAAAACCTAATATTAACAGAATTATTAGGATTTTTTAAAAAAAGCAAGAACCCGAACACTGCATCATTTGCTAGGGCATAAGATACGCAAAGTGAAACTGAAAGGAGACTAACCGGGGCTGTGGAGACTAACACAGCCCACTGTGCAATGTTTTGTTAGGACTCGCTAGTGGAGTTGATCGCCCTTTTACTCAGTGCAACACAAAACCTGGCTGCAGCACCAGGGCAGACTGTGGTCTGACCCCACTCCTGCCACTGCAAATTAAGTTCCAAGGGGAACTGTGAACAACCACAAAGTCCCGCTTGCCAAAGCGGGGTATTTGGTGCGCTCCACTTTCCCCTCCGGGGAGGAAGCGATGGTTTACGTCAGGCCAAAACAAAGGGTGGGGCAGGAGGAAGCGAAAAGCAATATTAGCTGTTTACTGTAGTGACGAGCTGAGGCGCCAAGCTATTGCATTGCAGCTGCTTCTGCAAAGGTGGAAGAAGCAGCCCTGACTTCATTATCTTGCAGTCGGCTGATCGCTGCTGCAGTTGGAAGCACAGCAGAAACGAGCCAGTAAGTACCATGCAGTGGGTGCTGTGTGCAGAAGGGGTTTAATAACTACAGCACTCATTTTAGGGTGAGCCTAGGAGAACCTGCATATGGTTATTTCGTTGTTGTTCTTTCCCCCTCCTTTATTGATTCTTTTGCAAATATTTTCTGTGTGTTGTACGGTGCTGTTCCTTCTTGTGAGGAGGAGGAAATGGGGATGAGATAACGTTAACTGAGTGCTGGTTTTGGTTAAATGCTGCAAAATATCATACTTCCAGGAGAGACTATTGTATGAAGTCAGGGGAATTTCATGCAGCCTGTTAACCACTGTATTTAGAGGGCTGTACGTAACCGTGGTGGTGCTGCGGGGGAGGGCGTTTTGCTTTCGTTCTCGTTTTTTGTGGAGATATGAGAGGAAGATTTCTGGGGCTTTCCCAGTGTAACTATGCTGATATGAATGGACTGATTCTCCACTTCCTTGTACATTCTCTAGTTGTCTACATCTGTGCAGGATGAGTGCGAAATGCTACCAAATTAGAATTCTTAACTCTCCCCCTGATGCAGGATGCAAGGTGGTGGTAAGGAAAGGCCAGTGGAGTTGTTCAGGAGAGCAGAATCAGGCCCTCTCAGAATATAAATAAGCAATATTCCTTTGCTGTGTACCTATAAGGAGCGGAGAGGCAAAGCATCTCTGTAGAATCTGTTTACTTATGCTGCTAAATCCATATGTCTTCCTCTTCTGCCTCCCCCTAGAGCTCCCAGTCAAACTGTGTGAAATGAGATACACTCTGGGCAGTTCTCCCCCTGCCCATATTTACAGGATGTGCTGTCTGGCAGTCTCAGCAATCTAGTCTAATGCTTCAGCAAAATGGAACTGTGATCATGGATATTTTCAAACAAAAGTGAAAGAAAACATTGAGCTTCTTTTAACCACCGCATGTGGAGGAAGTTTTAGTTAACTTTATGCCCCCAAGCTTGAAAATTCTGGACTATATAGTTAATGATGACAGGCTTCAGAGGGGTAATTGTGTTAGTCTGTGTCAGTAAAAACAACGAGGAATCCTTGTGACACCTTACAGACTAACAAACAAATTTATTTGGGCGTAAGCTTTTGTGGACTCTAACCCACAAAAGCTTATACCCAAATAAATTTGTTAGTCTCTAAGGTACCACAAGGACTCCTCGTTGTTTTTATAGTTAATAATATTAACTGTGATGCTGGCTGAGAAAATATGCAGGTTGTGTCTCTATGTCCTATCCGCTTAGTTAGCTTCAGGAATAAAAGACCTTTTAGAATGTGGTCCAGTTCTGGTCAGAAGCTGACCGTGCAATTTTGTTCACAAGATGATCCTGCAAGCTCTTTCTCATGCAAGTAGTCTCGTTTACTAGACTAAGGCTTTGTAGAATTATGCCCTTTGGTGTCTGATATTCCAAATTGCAAGCAAAACAACATTGTTGGGATTCCCTTCAAGACCTTTTCCACTCAACTGATCCAGAACACTTCAGTTCTGCGAGAACACTTCTATCCCGTTCTCTGGAACCCAAAAACTCAGTTCAAAGCTGGGCTTGTCACTGAGGTTTCTTTACTGGCATTTTAGAAAGCTGCACCTGAGGCGATCAGGTCAGTGGGGTAGGTTAGGGTGCACAACTCCAAAGTACATAGTTTTAAATCAGATTATACACCTATTTTAAAAGAGACTAACACATGCACATTACATTCTACATTGTATCACAGGCATTATGATTGGCTTACCAATTTTGTGAACCAGGCCCTGTATAGATCATCATGAGCTATCCATGTGCTACAAACTGTGCTGGTAAGCAAAGCGGCAGAGGCAACCTTATCACGCGTCTTCCATTTCTTTATCTACTAGCTACATGTTATTCACAAGGCCCCTTGTCAATTCATGCTTTGTCCATTGTCCATTTGTCCTGTGTTCTTACTTCTAATTTTCATTGTCCATACAAGGCTTACAAACCTGCAGACCTGTGATGCTGCATACATAATTAAAACACCTCACAGAACAGGGCTGTCTTTTCTTTAAACTTTGAAAAGTTGTATTTATTTTTTCGTAATATGACTTAATACAGAAAAAGATAAAACAGTTCTGATTACAACAAAGTACATATTTGTGTCTATCAAAGGTCTGTTAATGTAAACATATAATGAATAATTTCTTTTTTTTTTCTAGACAAAATTAAATGTGTTCACATGAACCTTAGATATTGGGCTCAATTTTCATGTAGGTCACATAATTCCGCTCCAGCAGTTCAAAGCTCTTTTATACTTCCAGTCAGTGTAAAGTGGCCTTAGTGTAAATGAGAATAAGGCCCATAGTGGCTGGTTTGTTGAAGCTTTAATCTGTACCTTGTAAACTTTTAAAAATAATTCCAGCTATGTATAGGGTGACCGTATTTCCCTATGCTGAATATGGGACACCTTGTAAAATTGCTTGTATTCCACAGCAATCAATCAGAACTATGCAGAACCCCCCCCCCCAACATGCTATAAAAACTCCAGAGTCCAGCAGGGAAAGGGGGGGCTCAGGGGTCGGGGGGGGTGGCCTCGGGCATAGGCGTAGTATGACTTCTATTTTGGGGGTCAGGGGCCAGCAGGGCTCAAGCCAGGACACGGCTGGGGCTGTGCTGACTGACCACTGACTGAGCAGCAGGGGGATCAGGGAATATGGGACCATTTGCCCATTTTTTTAAAAAAAGGCGGGACACCTGCAATAAGACTTAAATACAGGACTGTCCCGTTAAAAATGGGATGGATGGTCACCCGAACTATGTACAAAAATTAGGTCAAATCCTTCCCTCGTGTGATTGAATTGAAGGCAGTCTAGATACACTAGGGATGAATTTAGGGGGTGGAGGTGATGCCCTCTCCTTGGGCACCACCATGTGGAGCTGGCCCGAGACCCGCCAGGCCCTGCCCCCTCCTCCAAAATATCAGTCAAACTTTGCCTATGCCCGAGCTTCCCCGCCTCCTGGTGGCTGAAGCCTGGAGCCTCTCCCATTGCATCCTGGAGTTTTTATAGCATGTCGGAGGGAGCCTCGGCAAGAAAAAGATTGAGAACTCCTTCTCTACAACATTTGCAAATGGTAGCTGTGATCCTAAATAAAGAAGTGACTAGCCTAAGGATGAGGAAAGAAGAATTAGAAGAAGAAGAATTAGTGAACAATCTGAGGGCAGAAATGTAGGCATTAAAAGACAAGGACAAGGAATTGGCTAGTCTAAGAGTGGAGGCTAATATGTGGAAAGCATAGCATATGTTAGCGCTAGAGTCATACCTCACAGAAGGAATCAGAGAAAGAAAAGAAAGTAGCTAATGCAAAGGCCGAAACAGCTAACTTAAAAGCAGACACTAATATGCTGAAAGTAGAGGCTGACACTCTAAGAGCAACTATCTTAACACAAGGAGCTCAGATTGTAGCCGTGCAGAAAGAAGCGAATGATGCACTGCTAGAATAGGGCAAGTTAAGGCAGGAAGTGACAGCATGGAAACAAAAAGCATCAGATGGGCAAGCTGCAGTAAGAGCTGTGCCCACCGATACGAAAGAGAAGAATGGTTGGTCCGTGCCAGAAATGTGCTCTGAAAAGTGTGTTGCAAGCGAGAAAAGAGGTGTAAAGCGAGTAAAGGGGCAAAGGAAGAAACTTTGATGGTGATTTCCCTAAATTGTGCATCGAAGAGGAAGGGACCAACCCTTGGGACAAGGACTCCTCTGATTTGTACTATGAGAGGGACAACCCCTCTTTCTCAGAGACTTTACACCCCAGAACCAATTAGGGCAGTGGGCAAGTTCAAGGGTCCCCTGAATAAGGAGTACAGTTTAAGAATGCAGAAGTTAGAGGCACAGGTGCCGACTTTCCAAAGTGCCGGGGGTGCTTGAGCCCCCGGTCTGCCCCAAGGCCCCACCCCGTCTCTTCCCACTCAGCTCCACCCTTGCCCTGCTTCTTCCCAGCCCCTCTCTACCCCGCCCCACCTCTTCCTGCCCAGTTCCACCCCCCCCCGCGAGCGTGCCGCATCCTTCCTCCTCCCCCCTCCCTCCCAGCCTCCTGCATGCCACGAAACAGCTGATCGCAGTGGGCGGGAGGCGCAGGGAGGGAGGGAGAAGTGCTGATATGTGGGGCCCACCGACGGGCCGCAGGTGCTAGGGGCGTGGGGGGAAGCTGATGGGGGGCTGCCGGTGGGTCCTCAACACTCACCATTTTTTCTCTGTGGGTGCTCCAGCCCCAGAGCACCCATGGAGTTGGCGCCTATAGTTAGAGGAATCAAAAATGTTGGGAGAGTCCTTAAATCAGATTCAGCAGCAACTGGAGTTTTGCCTTAGGGAGAAGACTCAGTGCAAGACTGAGAATTCCACACTGCAAGTAAAAGCGGTAAAGGAAGCACTAGAGATTGAAAGGCTGCAGCACACTTGTGACAAGCAGCAGCAGATAATTATGATGTTAAGGGAGCAAAATTGCTGCTTGGGGAAAGTATACTGCCACACAGGGAGCAGTAGCTGCAGCTCTGGATTCCCAGAGTTCGCAGACTGTGACTGACCACACACTTTGCTGGTATAGTGCGAGAAACTGCTGTCTGTAGGAATTTGCTATATTAGATAGCAGTTTTTTATAATCCCTTTCATATGAGTAACTGCTACAGGTAGCAAGCACCAGGCTGTGCGGGGGGAGGGGGCAGCGGGGCTGAGGCAGGCTCCATGCCCAGCTCCGCACAGCTCCCAGGAAACGGCAGCACATCTGACTCCTAGGCGGAGGGGCGGCCTGGGGTAGGGGAGCTATGCATGCTGCCGCCTCCTGCCAGCGCCACCCCGAGCGCTGGCTCCGCAGCTCCCATTGGCTGGGAATCTGCGGTGGAAGTGAATCCTGGACGCATCCAGCTTCCTTCATCCCCAGGAAATGCTGGGGAAGAACTGGTAAGGCTGCTATTTAAGGGGCCATCTGAGGTCAGCATGTCATGGAGCCCCTGCGAACTGCACCAGCCAGAGCTGCCCGGAGCCCGCCCCCCAAGCCCCAACGCCCTGCCCCAGTTTGGAACCCCCCTCCCGCTCCATCCCGGAGCACGCATCTCACACCCCCGTCCTTCACCCCAACCCCTTGCCCAGCCCTGAGCCCTTTCTGCACTCTGAATCTCGGTCCCACCCACCCCCAGTCCAGTGCCCCCTCCTGCACCCCAAACCCATCATCCCTGACCTCACCCTGGAGCCTGTACCCCTGAGCCCATACCCCAGAGCTCATACCCCCTCCCACAACCCAACCCTCTGCCCCTGCCCGGAGCCCCCTCTCACACGTCGAACCCCTCGGCCCCACCCCCTAGCCTGGAGCCCCCTCCTGCACCCCAAACCCCTCATCCTCAGCCCCACCCCAGAGCCTGCACCCTAACCCAGGAGCCCATACCCCCTCTCTGCCCCCTAGCTCCCTCCCCTACCGCCAGCCCCAAGCATGGGGCATGGGGTCACTTGCAGGTTTAAACTAATGTAAATGTTGAATTCTCTGTAACTTGCAGTTTTTAAATCATGATTTGAGGACTTCAGTAACTCAGCCAGAGGTTCTGGATCTATGACAGGAGTGAGTGGGTGAGGTTCTGGGGCCTGCAATATGCAGGAGGTCAGACTAGATGATCATAATGGTCCCTTCTGACTTTAGTAAAAGTATCTGAGTAAGAATATACATTACAATTTTAAACCTAACCAGTGACCCTTAAGTGACTTGCCACAAGATTCAGAACATATTAGTGTTAGAGCTGAGTGGGTCTAATATTTATTTAATTTTCTTTCTTGATATAAGAATTAGATACAGTGCTCCTGTCAGATATTGCTAAGTTATTATCTGGAAAAATGTTAGCGTTTTCAGTTGCCTAAGTAGCCCCTGGAGTCATGGTTAAAATTGTGCCCCCTGTCCAATCTGAAATAACACCCCTGTGGGCAGGCCCAGAATTTGCCCGTCTCGCTACGCACACCGCACTGGCCTATCTGGAGCCAGCCTCCCAAATATAGAAGTCAAACTATACCTAGCTGACTCTGCAAAGGTGGAAGAAGCAGGCCTGACTTCACTGAATTCACTGCTGTTGAGCACATGACAGGAAAACACTGAAGCTGCGGGGAGAAACTGTAGAACAACCGAAACAGACTAGCCGGTAAGTAGCATGCAAAGGGTGGTGCCTGGAGAAGGGCTTCATTAACTACAGCACTCACTTTACTGAATGTAAAGGGTGGACCTAGGAGAACCTGCATATTGGTATTTTGTTGTTGTTTTCCCCTCCTGTACTGATTCTTTTGCAAATATTTTCTGTGTGTTGTACTGTTCCTTCTTGTGGGAGGAGGAAGTGGGGATTAGACGGTGTTAACTACCTGCTGGTTTTAGTTAAATGCTGAGAAAACATCATACTTCCAGAATAGCGTTGCCAACTTTCTAATTGCAGAAAGCCAAATACCCCTGCTCTGCCCCTTCTCCGATGCCCTGCCCCCACTCCCTCTGTCCCTCCTGTGCTTTCCCCCCACCCTAGCTCACTTGCTCATTTTCAGGGGGCTGAGGCAGGGGCTTAGGGTGCGGAAAAGGGTGAGGGCTCCGGCTGGTGGTGCGAGCTCTGGGGTGGAACTGAGGATGAGGGGTTTGGCGTGCAGGAGGGGGCTCCAGCCTGGGGAGTGGGGCTGAGGATTTTGGAGTGTGGGAGGGGGCTCCGGGCTGGGGCAGGGGGTTGGGGTGTGGGAGGGCTGAGGGCTCCGGCTGGGGGTGTGGGCTGTGTGGTGGGGCCAGGGATAAGGGGTTTGGAGTGCAGGAGGGGGTTCACGGCTGGGGCAGGAGGTTGGGGTGTGTGGGGGGGGTGCGGAGTCTGAGCAGCACTGACCTTGGGCAGCCCCGGCATTTCCCGGGATGGAGGAAGTCCATGCGACTCCCAGGAAGCGGCTGGCATGTTCCTCTGGCTTCTGTGCGGGGGGAGCTGCAGAGCTGGCACTTGGGATGGTGTTTGCGGGCAGGGGCAGCGCACAGAGTCCCCCTGGCCGCCCCTTCACCTAGGAGCCGGAGGGACATGCCATTGCTTCCCAGGAGCTGTGTAGAGCTGCATGGAGCCTGCCTGCCCCACTGTGGCCAACTGGACTTTTAGCAGCCTGGTCAGCTGTGCTGACTGGAGGTGGCGGGATCCCTTTTCGACCAGGCGTTTTGGCTGAAAACTGGACGCCTGGCAACCCTATTTCCAGGAGAGAGGCTGTTTCTTGAAATCAGGGGAATTTCACACAGCCTGTGAATCACTGTATTTAGAGAGCTGTAGGTAACTGTGCTGGGCAGGGGGAGGGCAGGGAAGGGGCATTTTGCTTTCTTTGTCTTTTATATGGAGAGTTGAGATATGAAGGTTTTCAGGGCTTTCTCGTCACACCAATGTAACTATGATGATGTTAATGGCCTGATTCTCCACTTTCTTGTATGTTGCGTAGTTGTGTACATCTGTGCAGTGTGAATGTAAAATGCTATCAAATTAGAATTCTTAACTCTTCTTAACTGGTCCAAGATGCAAGGCAGTGGGAAGGAAGGGCCAGTGGAGTTACTGTGGTTTAAAGGAGAGCAGAATCAGGCCCTCTGAGAATATAAATAAGCAATATTCCTTTGCTCTCTAGCTATTAGGCTGCCATCCTCTTTTTCTGTTATTTATTCTATTGAGGAGTAGAGAAGGAAAGCATCTCTGTAGAAGCTTTTTACTTGTTTTGCTAACAATCCATATTGCTTCCTCTTCTATCTCCTACCAGAGGTCCCAGTCAGACCGTGTTAAATTAGTTCTTCCCCTGGTCATATTGACGGGATGTGCTATGTCCAGCAGTCACAGCGATCTAGTCTAATGCATCAGCAAAATAGACCTGTGGCATGGATGTTTTAAAACAAAGAAACAAAACGTTCATCTTCTTTAAAACACCTCATGTGGAGAAAGTTTTAATTAACTTTGTGCCCCCAAGCTTGAAAATTCTGGGCTATACAATTAATAATAACTGTGATGCTGACGAAGCAATAGAGAGGTTACTTCTGTATGTCCTACCCTCTTAGTTAGCTTCAGGAAAAATAAAACTTTTAGAAAGTGGTCTAATTTTGTTTAGAAGTTGACCATGCAATTGTATTCACAAGATGATCCTGCAAGCCCTTTCTCATGCAAGTAGTCCTGTTTACTTTAGAATAAGATTTTGTAGTATTATGCCCTATTTATTTTTTTTGGTGTCTGATGTTCCAATTTGCTAGCAAAACAACATTGTTGAGATTCCATCTGAGATCTTTTCCATTTAGCTTATCCAAAATGCTTTGTCCAGTTCTGGGAAAACACTTCACCCAGTTCTCTGGAATCCAAAAACTCAGTTCAAATCTAGGTGTGTCACTGAGGTTTCTTTATTGGTATTTCATAAAGCTGCATCTCCAGTGATCAGGTCAGGTGTAGTGGGGTAGGTTAGGGAGCATCACAGCTCCAAAGTCCATAGTTATAAATCAGATTATATACAGGTTCTAAACCAGACTAACACGTGTATTACATTCTACACTGTGTCACAGGCTTTATGATTGGCTTGCTAATTGTATGAACCAGGCCCTGTATAGATCATGAGTATGGATATGATTTTGTCACAGTAGAATTAAGCCGAATTCACAGTCATGGTAAAAATGTACAAAATCAGGTATGGTCACGGTGGGACTGAAGTTGAAGCCTGAGCCATACCGCAAAGGATTGACAGACGAAGCCTGAACCCCGCCACATTGAGGGCGGAGAGGGGGACATGCACAGACAGAGCCCTGCCAAAGTCACGGAGATCTGTTAAAGTCATGGAATCCATGACCTCCATGACCAAATTGTATCCTTCATCATGAACTATCCATACACTACAAACTGTGCTAGTAAGCAAAGCTGCAGCTGCAAGCTTATCATACTTTACTAGTTTTCTGACTATTTCTTCATCTACTTCCTGTTTATTATTTACAGGGCACTTGTGAATTCATGCTTTGTCCATTGTCCATTTGTCCTGTTTCCTTATTTCTGGTTTTATTTTGTGCATGCAAGGCATACAAATGTGCTTACCTGTGATGCTACATACATAGTTAAAACAGCTCACAGAAGAGAGAACTGTAAGAAGCAGGGTTACCTTTTTGTACTCTTTGAAAAGTTTTAATTATTTTTCATAATATGAATTAATACAGAAAAAGATTAAAAAGTTCTAATTATAACAGACAAAAACTATGCACTTGCATGTATCAAAAGTTCTGTTAATGTAAACATATAATAAAGAAAAATATTTACACTATTACTGATATTATTTTGTCTTAAAAAAAAAAGTGTGTTTACATGTACTATAGAGATAGGGCTCAGTTCTCATTTACATTTAGCCCACATTATTCTGCTTCAACAGTTCCAGGCTCCTTTATACTTCCACGCAGTGTAAAGTGGCCTTAGTGTAACTGAGAATGAGGCCCATAGTGGCTGGTTTGTCGCAGCTTTAATCTGTACCCTGTAAACTGGGCTTGTACGTTTGTTCCTAAAGACTCATAGATTCCTAAAACCTCATGTCTATGTTGCCTTGTAAAATCAGTGGCAGAGAGGCTCAGAGCCCAAAGCTTATGCTATGGCACTAACCCAGGGGTGGGCAACCTGCAGCCCACGGGCCGCTCGCGGCCCATCAGGGTAATCCACTGGTGGGCCGTGAGACAGTGTTTACATTGACCGTTGACTACATTGACTGCAGGCACGGCCATCTGCAGCTCCCAGTGGCCATGGTTCGCCATTCCTGGCCAATGGTTACTGCAGGAAGCTCTCAAACTCACCCCTTCCATGGATTTCAGAACCCAAGATCCAACTGGAGCCCAAACATCTACACAGCTGTTTTTAGCGCCGTAGCAGGAGCCTGAGTCTGTAGCACAATAGCGCAAACCTGACTCTGTACATCAGGGCTCAGAGACTCACTGCTGTGGATTTTAAGATACAGTGTAGACCTATCCAGAGGGCTCTACAGGTGAAAAATGAAGGTTCAATGGTGCTTAAACATGCTGCTAAAGAATTGTAAGCCTCGGCTGTGGTTGTGTTTTTCTCCCTTTAACACTAGCCTCCTTTGTTTATGTTTATGTAGGAGTTGTTTCTGTTCACACCTGGAGTGTTAACTTTGTTAGAAGTAAAAAACATTGGTCATAAAGCAGATTTCAACTGTTACGTGAGGAAGGCGTGGGGGGGAATGATTTTGGCATATATGCTGTTTTACAAATGTGTTGTCAGTAGTGTTAGCAAAACACTTCAGCCAGACGGACTTCTTGAGGAATGATTTATAAAGGCAATGGAAATCTTGAAGAAGACAAAGAACAGTATGCAGTCTACATAAAAACCAGTAAGGAAAATGATAAGGAAAAGGTATTATATTTTTACATAACTAGGGAACAAAAGGTGAATGTTTTGTGACTGTAACATCCATTGGCATGAATAGTTCTGCAAGTAAGGAAACAGGGAGTCTCTCTCTATAGCTCATCTTCTCTTTTATGTACCTCGTTGAGACCCTGAAGGTTAATTATCAGCCTTGACCAAGGTTTTTTTATGTCAATTCTAAACTGTTGGGAAATACTAGTGGAAACAGTAACAAATGCTAAACTGTAGTGAAACTAGCGAGCTTTCATAAATGGGGAGATCACATATAGACACACATACAACCATTCTCTGCAAGTATTGAGTTATTTATTTTATTTTATTTATTTGCAGATGGGTTTCTGCTCTGTGTAACAGCCCAGGCTCAGTAGTCTTATAGTAGACCAACGTGTGAGTAAGACACTTCAGACTCCTTGCAGATATTTTGAATAATAGAAGAAGAAATGAATCTTGCAAATGATGGTGCAACGTTCAGTGCCATTTATGACTGGAACTATGTTCTGTGGGAAGTTCGTTTGAAGTTACTAGCAGCTGGTTTTTTCAGTTACCTGGGAGTATTTATTACAGCTCACTGGCTGTCCTCATGGATCAGTGCCACTTATTGCACTTTGTCAACAAAGCAGAAGATCTTCTGGAATATGGATATCACACGTGGCCTATTTGCAGTTCAGAGTTGTGGAGCTGGCTTGTGGGCCTTGCTTATAGATCCAGTTTTTCAAGTTGACCAAGTGTATTCACAGCAAAAATGGAGCTGGTTTCATTGCTTAATAGCCGCTGGCTACTTCTTGCTTGAAAATATCGTTTTTAATGTGTCTAACATTGTTTTCAGGGTATTTAATGTGTTCGAAGGAGTTCATCATTTATTTGCCTTTGGTGGGCTTCTTGGTCTGATAATTAACATAAAGTCTGGACACTATCTACCCCTGATGGGTCTGCTACTTGAGATGAACACTCCTTCATACTGCATATCCTCTATTCTTGCAAGGGTAAGAACTTGCTGTATTAATTATGGGTGAGAGAAGTTACCATCATAGTCCTCATAGTTCCTCCTCCTCAAAACAAATCAGCAAACAAAGAAATATTGGCCTCTAAAATGGCAGATTAGTTCTGGGGTCAAGAAAGAAATTTTTCTTCCAAACTTGAAGTGATGTGTCCATTGGAATCGTTAATTATAACACCCTAACAATAATTAAATATTTTCTGGAAAATCTTTTAACTTTTTTTTTTACCCATTTTGTAGCAAAGAAACAAAAAGAAAGAAATTTTAAGAAATTAGTTTACAGACTCACTAGTTGGGATCTAGTGCACAGGAGCAAAGATTAGGTGATTAAACTCTATTTTTAAAAGATTTTTTTTTTTTAAGTCTGAAAATAGTAACATGAGAATGTGTGATCACCTCCAACAAGCTTAATGCAGACCATTACATATCTGCTGGAGATTAAAAATATGTCCATGTGTGCTCACACACAAACAAGTGTTTATGTACATTATGTATATTCTGTGGATGCAGAGAGGGAGAACAGCCTTGAGAAGAGCTGCCATGCTTGTAGGGAGAGAGGAAATCGGCCCTGCTTCCCAAACCATAATCTGTTCCAAAGAGTGTGTCTTAGAGCAGTGGTTTCCAAACTTGTTCCGCTGCTTGTGCAAGGAAAGCCCCTGGCGGGCCGGGCCAGGCCAGTTTGTTTACCTGCCGCGTCTGTAGGTTCCGCTGAACCTGCAGACGCGGCAGGTAAACAAACTGGCCTGGCCTGGGCCGCTAGGGGCTTTCCCTGCACAAGCGGCGGAACAAGTTTGGGAACCACTGTCTTAGAGGTTTAAACTTAAATCCTAAAATATCCTGACTCTTTAGAACTACAGCCACAAGTCCTGGCACGATCACCTCAACCCTTCTGCATGTGTAGATGCTAGAGCAATTTGAGAGTCATGGTCTACCTGAGTGGTGTTGGCCAAAACTTCCAAGATCTTGCTAGTCCTTGCACACTTTTGTGACATATGTTTTGTTTTGATCATTTTCTTCCATCATCAGTTGGCTGCATCTGACTGATGCGGTATTATGCAAAGTGATTTAGAATTCTGCTAGACAAAAGGTGCCATATATATGTGCAATCTTTTAGCAGTCTAGAGAAAAATGATTGAGAGAATGTTTGTATGGCAGTTTACACTAAACAAAACAGGAAAACTAAATATGTGTGTCTCTTATTTCTAGAAAATTCTGACTGCCTTAACATGAAGGTGCAATCTCATTTCTTTCTCTTTGTTGTTGTCTCTTCCAGATTGGCTGTGCTAATACCCTTTTTTGGAAGGCAAACCAATGGATAAATATCCATATGCTTCACTGCCGCATGGTCCTTATTTATCACATGTGGTGGGTGTGTATTTCCCATTGGAATGATGTGGTGGAAAATCTGGGACTTCCATATTTTATTGTTTTTTTCATGGGTTTAAGTACACTTACGTTAATACTTAATCCATACTGGATATTCAGATCGACTCAGCGGCTCTTTGTTCCAGTTGACAGGAAATTTCCAAAAACAGCAGTGAAAAATGCATCCTATGAAAATTTAAATAGTGAAACATTCCAAAAGAAGAGGATATAGTTCTGCAACAGCTATTCGGGTTACAGTAAAATATGTCCAGGAGAAAATGGTGCAGGTTTACTAGCCAGTCCATGAAAATAGAATTGCTTACAAGAAGTCTATGAATGTATTGATCTATTTGCAGTTTGCTATCAGTGTACTATACTCATTTGTCAATAGTGTTTTAAAATTGTTGCTGTCTATCTTTAAAATACACACACACTCTTTGACTCAGTCAGGATTTATGCCAGTAATTTTAGTCTGGGAGCATAATGTAATAAAATCTCATTCTGGGGGGGAGGGGCAAATTAATGATAGAAATGTAAGGGAGGTGTCATTTGATTCATAAAAATCTACAGAATCATAATTTCAATGATGTTAATGTCTGTAGCATGGCAGGAGGGATTCACTGACTTTCCTCTCCCCTGCTCCCCATCTCCAGGTCCTCCCAGTTGGTGGAAATTTTATGATAGAACTTTGTCAGAAATGGGTCAAATTACCTATTATTCAAAGCCCTTTCTCCCATGAACACAATGGTACCAAACATGACAAACCCAAAACAATTAGGTAGATATATATTGGAGAAAATATTGAAATATAAACTTTTAAAATTGTTCTTTAACACAAGGAAGCATTGCTTGCATGAAAAAGACACTGACCTTTGGCAATCCTAACAAGTTTAGTCTTGACATGGAGGATTGAAAATATTTATTGGTCAACATTGTCATCAGTGTCATTACTGTCTAGGGCTAGTGATAGACACGTTATCACATTGATACTCATCCATGCCACGCTCACACATCTCTGTATAAGGCAGACAGCTGGCCAGACATCTGCAAGATGTTGAGCATCTTGTCTTTGTGCATGAGATTTTGATTAGCTGAAGGATTGATTTAGGAGTGCATGGTATTTCATGCATAACTGGTACAATCAGTGCATCCTCCAAGACCTATCTGTCCCCAATAAGAGAGGGTAAGTTTTAGATGCACGCAGTCATTCTGGAGCCATTCCATTGCTTGATAATTTGCCCTCTTGATAGCAGACATAAATGCATCTCTTGTCAATGGCAATTTTTCTCCATTTTTCTGCTTATTTTTTAAACATCTACCATGAATCTCTGTAAGTGTCATAATGTTCATCTTCAAATGGTAAATTGAGCATATGTACGCCTCTAGTGCATTTACGTCCTCATCTGTGACTGTCTCAGCCATTGTGAGCACCTTCAGCGCAAGGACAGAGTCTTCGGAGGCTGAATGAAATGCCTTCCTGTAAAATCATCTGGTCTTTCTAGCCAGCCTCCAAGCAGTGTCACATTCCAAAAAGGGTCTGGAAACCTGGCAATGCGGCTGTTGAGCAGGTCTATAAAGACCCAGGTCTAGTGACACAACACATTTTGATTCAATTTTGAAGATGTATTTGTTCATATATTCCAGCTCCATAAGGAATGTTTACTGAACTGAGCGATGAGTGGGGAATAGCATTGTTGGGATGGTGCCAAATTGGTGTGACCATACGGAATGAACGGTGAGAGCATAACCTGACATAACTTAAACATGGCTGAAGGGCTGCAGAGGATCCTGGGAGCAGGTTCCCTTTAAGCAGAAGCAAATTTGATAAAAAACTGGAAAAGTCTGCGTGTACAATCAATATTGAACCTATTGGTCAGCAAATATGGACCCATGCAAAAATAAATATCACATGTATAAAGTTCTAGCATGGAGCACAGGTCGACCTGATTATAGTGACCCTATCGCAAGGACTCACACAGAGAGCCAGAGTGAATGACTGATGAGTAAAAGTGGGGTGATCTTCGTTTGGTACCACCACCCCCAGCTCCTTCTAAAACACTAATTAGGTAAAAATTAGTCACCACACACCCACTGGGCATGCTTTTAAGGCATGTGACTCCTCTGAGGAAAAAGAGTATAAGAGTCAAGCAAAGTAAATTACTGTGTTTGGGATTCCTTAATTGATGTTTGAAGAAGCAACGCTGCTCGACAGAGTAGTCAAAACTCTGTTCCGTGGGCTCGAGTAGGACTGTGAACCAGAGGGGCCTCAAGGCAACCAAGACCTTGCCTCGAGGGAATCCGAGACAGACCAGAGGGCTGAGAAAAACAGACCAGGAGAGAAGAAGCCGTCTATAAAATTGGCAACCACCTTCTCTGTTTGCCAAGCAGGAACTGTGTGGGACCAGCGCAGGGCCTTTTTATCTATGTTTGTGAAAGAGAGACTCATTAAGAGGAATGTATAGCTCTTAATGTATAGCTCTTAATGTCTCACATAGGAGTTATGTGTTTAATATAACCCTTTACCACTTCTGTAATTCCTTCTCAATAAACTGCTGTGTATTGAAGATAATTACTGTGGACCTTTTTCACTGGTATGACCGTAATCTGCTCCACCGGGAGCCAGTTAAGATCCATTTCAGGGGTAGTAGAGCCCCCTGTTGTCAACATAGTGTGACGTTCCCCTGGTGAAATCTGGACTGGTGATCTGCTAGGTCACTCCAATTCTCAACTCTGGGAGCCAGCCTTACCCTGCTCTGCTGTGAGAATCCCCACTCCCAGGCTGTTCACACATAGCCTCTAGCCTGGAAGCTGCTCCCAGCTACTTAAGTTAGCACTTTTGGTGAGTCACTGCTTGGATTGTGCAACTGAATGACACTAGCCAATATCTCCGGTCCCAGACACAACCCTAGGAACCTTCAGTTATGCCCACTGGACACTGCAAGCTTATATGAGTTTGTCAATTTAACAAAGAAATTGATATGTACCAGGCTTGTTATCCCAAATAAATTTATTAACTACAAAAGATAGATTTTAAGTGATTATAAATCAAAGCATAACAAGTCAGATTTAGTCAAATGAAATAAAAGCAAAACACATTCTAAGCTGATTTTAACATTTTCAGTGCCCTTACAAATATAGATGCTTCTCACCATAGGCTGTCTGGTTGCCCTTCAGCCAGGCTCTCCCCTTTGATCAGCACTTCAGTTGCTTGGTGGTAGTGTCTGAAGATGGAGGTGGAAGAGAGAGGAAGAGCATGGCAATCATCTCTCCCTTTTATCATGTCCTTTCTTCCCTCTTGGCTTTGCCCCCCCCCCCTTCAGAGTCAGGTGAGCATTACCTCATTGTAGTCCCAAACCGTTATTGCATGTAGTCAGGGGAATTTCACACTGCAAACCACTATATTTAGAGGTCTGTCTGTAACTGTGCTGGTGCTGGGTGAAAGGGAGGTGTTTTGCTTTCTTTTTTTGTGGGGAGTTGAGCAAGGAAGGTTTCTGGGTGTTTCTTTTCACCCCAGTGCACGGTGCTAGAACAGAGTGTGCTGTGATCCACTGAACCAGACTGTAAACCATGTGTATAATGGAAATCACTTCAAACCAGGGGTGCTGCAGCACACCCTGCACCTATGCCGCAGTGTAAATATGTTGACGTTAATGAGACTGATTCTCCACTTCCTTGTACTTTGCCAAGGTGTATAATAAGAACATAAGTGCAGAGTGAGTGTAAAATGCTACCAAATGAGCATCCTTAACTCTCAGTGGTCCAAGATGCAAGGCAGTGGGAAATAAGGCCCTGTGGATTTCCTCTGGTGTAACTGAGACTATAAATAAGCAACATTCTTTTGCTCTGTAGCTAGGGGGATAATATCTTCATTTGTGTGATTTATTATAGGAGCAGGAAGGCAATCTGTAGGATTGTTTTATTTATGCTGCTAACAATCCCCATGGTTCCTCTTCTAACTCCCACTAGAGTTTCCAGTTAAGCTCTGTGAAATTAGAAGATATTCTCTGGGCAGCTATTTTCCTGGCCACATTCACAGGATATGCTGTGTCTAGCGGTCATGGCAATCTAGTCTAATGCATCATCAAAATGGATCTGTGATTATGGATATTTTAAAATAAAAATGAAAGAAAATGTTCAGCTTCTTTTAACCACATCAAGTGGAGGAAGTTTTTATTAACTTTATGCCCCCAAGCTTGAAAATTCTGGGCTATACAATTAATAATAATTGTGATGCTGGGAGAGACAATAAAGAGGTTGTTTCTCTCAGTCCTACCCTCTTAGTTAGCTTCAGGAATAATAGACCTTTTAGAATGTGGTCTAATTCTTTTCAGAAGTTGACGGTGCAATTCTCTTCACAAGATGATCCTGTAAGCACTTACTCATGCAAGTAGTTCCATTTACTAGACTATGGTTTTGTAGAATTATGCTCTGTTTTGGTGTCTGATATGACAAATAACAATCAAAATAGCATTGTTGGGATTTCCCCCGTCACCCCGCAAGACCTTTTCCATTCAACTTATCCAGAACATTTGGTCCAGTTCTGGGAGAACACTTTATCCAATTCTGTGGAATCCAAAAACTCAGTTCAAGTTGGGATTCATCATTAAGGTTCCTTGATTGGCTTTTCAGAAATCTGCACCTGAGGTGATCAGGCTCAAGTGTAGGGGGTAGGTTAGGGTGCATCACAACTCCAAAGTACATAGCTATAAATCAGATTTTATACCTATCTATTCGAAAACAGACTAACACATGCATTACATTCTATATCAGTAGTTCTCAAACTGCGGGTCGTGACCCTGTTTTAATGGAGTCGCCAGGACTGGCATTAGACTTGCTGGAACCAGGGGTGAAGCCCGAGCCCAACCGCCTGGGGCCAAAGCCTGAGCCCCAGCACCCAAGGCGAAACATGAGTGCTTCAGCCCTGGGTGGCGGGGCTCAGGTACAGGCCCCCTGCCTGGGGCTGAAGACTTGGGCTTTGGCTTTGTGGCCCCCCACTCCCCAAGGCAGCAGGGCTTGGGCTTTGTCTCCCCCCACACACCCCGGGGTCATGTAGTAATTTTTGTTGTCAGAAGGGGGTCGTGATGCAATAAAGTTTGAGAACGCTTGTTCTACATTGTGTCACACGCTTTATGTTTGGCTTACTAATTGTGTGAACCAGGCCCTGTTTAGATCATTAGTTATCCTTGTACTACAAACGGTGCTAGTAAGCAAAGCTGCAGCTGCAAGCTTATCACACTTTACTCTTCTATTTCTTTATGTACTAGCTACATATTATTTACAAATAGGGTTGCCAGGTTTCTGGTTTTGACCGGAACACCCCATCGAAAAGGGACCCTGGCGGCTTCAGTCATCACTGCTGACCAGGCGGTTAAAAGTCCAGTCGGCGGTGCAGCGGGGCTTAGGCAGGTTCTCTGCCTGCCATGCTCCACGTGGCTCCCAGATGCAGCGGCATGCCCCCCCCTCTGGCTCCTACACATAGGGGCAGCCAGGGAGCTCCGTGCGCTGCCCCCACCCCAAGCGCTGGCTTTGCAGCTCCCTTTGGCCAGGAACCGTGGCCAGTGGGAGCTGCGGGGGCGGTGCCTACGGACGGGGCAGTGCACAGAGCCGCCTGGCCATGTGTCCGTGTAGGAGCTATAGGGGGGACATGCCGCTGTTTCTGGGAGCTGCTTGAGGTAAGCGCTGCCCGGAGCCTGCACCTCTGCCCTGCCCCCCCGCAACTCCCGCCCCAGCTCTGCTCCACCTCCAAACCCCTCGATCACAGCCCGGAGCCCCCTCCTACATCCCAAACCCCTCATCCCCAGCCCCACTCCAGAGCCCACACCCCCAGCTTCACATCCCCTGCACCCCAACCCCCTGCCCCAGCCTGGAGCCCCCTCACACACTCTGAAACCCTCATTTCTGGCCCCACCCTGGAACCCGCATCCCCAGCCCAGAGCCCGTACCCCCTCCCACACCCCAACCTTTTGCCTCAGCCTGGAGCCCCCTTCCATACTCTTAACCCCTCGGCTCCACCCCCCCCCATCCCCAGCCCCACTCCAGAGCCTGCACCACCCAGCCAGAGCCTTCACCCTCTCTCACATCCCAACCCACTGCCTCAGCCAGGAGCCCTCTCCTACACCTGTACAGACCAAAAGTACATACTTGTGTGTATCAAGGGTCCATTTATGTAAACATATAATAAAGAAGAATATTTACAATATTACTGATTTTCTTTTTTCGTAGACAAAATAATAAAGTGTGTGTACTACAGAGATAGGGATTGAGGCCATGTTATTCTTCTCCAGCAGTTCAAGGCTCCTTCATACTTCCAGGCAGTGTAAAGTGGTCTTAGTGTAACTGAGAAGGAGGCCAGTAGTGGCTGGTTTGCTGCAGCTTTGATCTGTACCCTGTAAATTGTGTTCACACGTTTGATTCCTAATGACTCTTAGGATGTGTCTGTGTTGAGTTTTAAAACCAATGGCAGCAAGTCTCTGAGACCAAGTTTACAGATTCCAGCTAACGCTATGGCACTAAACAGGGCTGTAAATGTTGCGGCTCAGGCTCTCAAACTCACCCCCTTCCTGGATTTCAGACCCAAGCTCCAGCCTGAGCCTGAACATTTACACAGCTGTTTTTAGCACCATAGCGCAAGCCCGAGTCTGTAGATCGGGGCACAAAGACTCACTGTTGTGGGTTTTAAAATGCAGTGTAGGTGTATCCAGAGGGCTCTACAGCTGAAAAAAATGAGGGTTCAGTGATGCTTAAACATGGTGCTAAAGGATTGTAAGCCTCTGTTGTTGTTGTGTTTTTATTCCTTTAGCACTGGCCCCCTTCATTTATGTCCATAGGAGTCGTTTCTGTTCACACCTGGAATGTTAACTTTGTCAGAAGTAAAAAAAAATTGGTCATAAAACAATTGTGTTCTGTTAGGAAGGTGGTCTACTTAAATTGCAGAGAAATCACATATTTTTCCCGGGTTGGTCATGGCATAAGGAGCAAATTTCATGAATGTGTTACATAATTTACTAAGTTGCAAAATACATCTTAAAAGCTCATAACTGAAATCTGTTTTTAAACTGAATTTCTCAACCCTGCTTACACTGTTTGCCATCCTTTTTACTAGGGCTGTCAAGCGATTAAAAAAATTAATCGCGATTAATTGCATTGTTAAGCAATAATGGAATACCATTTATTTAAATATTTTTGGATGTTTTCTACATTTTCAAATATATTGATTTCAATTACAACAGTACAGTGCTCACTTTATATGATTTTTATTACAAATATTTGCAGTGTAAAAAACAAAAGAAATAGTGTTTTTCAATTCAATTCACCTAATACAAGTACTGTAGTGCAATCTTTTTATCATGAAAGTGCAACTTACAAATGTAGATTTTGTTTTGTTACATAACTGCTCTGAAAAATAAAAAAATGTAACACTTTAGAGCCTACAGGCCCACTCAGTCCTACTTCAGCCAATTGCTCAGACAAACAAGATTGGTTACAAGGCAGGCAACAGCAGCTCCTGTAAATGTGAACAAATTTGTTTGTCTTAGCGATAGGCTGAACAAGAAGTAGGACTCAGTGGAC